GCGAGTGTGAGTGAGTGAGTACTACTACTACTACTACTACTACTACTACTACTCCTACTCCTACTACTACTACTACTACTACTACAACTACTACTACTACTACTACTACTACCACTGTTAACCTTATGACTATAATCACCACGAGTGCTATTTCTCCCGCTAGCTACTATTCTTGGTACTGTCGCTATCATAGCCAAAACATGAAGGAAAGGGAGTGGGTCGCTGAACCCCGACCCTACATCCCACACGGCCCTACACCCTGAGCCCGTGTGCAGCTGGGTGAGACCTGCAGAGTCAGGTACTACAATGAAGACGACGAGCTCCCGGAGAACGTGGACGAGACCGCGACTGAAAGACTCACATTGAGCTTTGCCAAGGCGGGATCCTGGAGCCGAGGACTCGAGACGCTCCGAGCTGTGCCTGTGCCCTGAGAAGGCAGCGCTGCTGACGCCCGATGCAGGACGGTGCAGCGCCTGGTGCAGGGCCGAAGACCATCACAGACATCCCCTGCCTTTAGCAAGTGGCTTCTGAAGTTATAGACATGCGGCATGCATTGGGAGACGGGTGGACCTTTCCCAGCATCTAGATTGAGAAACTGATCTATGTATGTAAATTGATTGGTGTTCGAGGGTGTACCATACTAGCTGATTTTTTTTGCCAGGACGGCACAGAAGAGGAGGCTGGACCGTGACGGACTTGCCGCCGGAAACACCGAAGACTGTGGACGCCGGGGCAGCCGGCTCGTCGGGATGATGATGACCGGCATGGCGGCGCCTCGATGCCAAGAGGGTGGGGCTGGAAGCAAGGGAGGTAGAGCTGATGACGGCAACGATGGCTGAATCATGGAGGCTTTCACGTTCCTGAAGGCGAGCCCATCGGGATTCGCCAAGAGCATCCGTGTGCTGCAGGTCCTTGCCTGTCCAAAAGACAATGAGAGCTCCTTGCGGCCTGTCACCTGCTTTCTTAGAAAGCCACACCGTTCTACGGATTCATGCTGCTATGGCCTATGGCCTCAGCCACTTGAAGCAAGCAACAGGCGAAGGAAAGTGGATGGACAATGGGGTGCTGCTTCCCCGGTTGTCAACATCCTAATTTCCCAGCAGCTGTTGCCGGGATTTGCCGTGCTGCTCCGTTGTACAGGCAGCTACATCATGTGCGGCAAGTGCTGCTGTACAGAGTCCTGACGGTTCAGCAAAGCCAGAGCGCCGCGTCAAGCATGCTTTCCCTTCATAGAGCCGTGAGCCACGCAGCGACGTGTCACAGAGATGTGACCTGCAGCTTTCGCGGCTGAGGCAGAGCCAACTGAGCGCTTGGAACAAGCTCGATTCCAAGGAGCGACCAGAAACTGAGCCATGTTGTTGCAGTAGTAGCTACGGCCTCATGGGCTCGCTCGCGCTGAGGTCCATGATGCAAACCTACAACACCTACATCCCTGGCCCGTACGAAAACTTTGCGGAGCAAGCTACAGAGGACACACGGAAGGGAAAGGAGGAGCTGCGTAGGCTGCGCTGATGCTCGCGAGGAGCGGGCCGAGAGCGGAGGAAACAGCGTCGGCCAAGGCAGGCAGACGGAGTGTAGCAGCTCGAGCTTCGGTTCGGTCTCGGTGCGGCGGCATGGCGGGACCCGACACGCAGGCACCATGGGAGAGGGTGGTGGCGGCGGCGGTGGTGGCAGCATGGTGCCGGGAGGAGGCAGATTCTGGGTTCAAGCGGCAGGAAAGCAGGGAAACTCATGGTCCTCTGATTTCCTTCTGCAGGCCATGAGAAGGGGTCCGGATCTGGAGGCCAAGCTTGCACGGCGTGTGTTCCTCCAGACTCCAGTGTCGATGCAGGGCTTCCGTGGGGCCATGCCACGCCGATTCACGGTTCTCCGAAGGACTCAATGGGAATGCGACAGAATGCGACTTTTCCTGCGTTTGCGGGCCCTGTTCAGAGATCTACAGAAGGCTCTGTTCGGGGGAACTCTGACCATGCAGGACCATTTCTACGAACACGGTGGCCAAGTGGGGTACGAGCCCTTCGCGCAGTGCGGGACCAATGTCGCCATGAAGCGGACGGGCCGAGGATGGCCGAGTCGTCTTTGGCGCTTTTCTCTTGACTTGCTGTGGAGATGAGGCCTTGGGTGTCCCAGTATGCCACGGACGAAGGAGGGTCGCGCTCTCATCTCGGTGTTGGGACCGACAGCGGCAGCGAGGACAATTTACAGTTTGCTGTGACGGTTTCATGGGAGGCACAACGCCTTCAGCTACGAAGGCAAAGAGTTCGCCAGCGGAGGCTGGAAACCATCTAGAGCATCCACTTTAAATGAAGTCACACCGGTGCTTGTCCCGAGAACAGCTGTGCTGGGCTGCCTAATGACCTAATGCTGTCGGCTATCGTGGTGTGTTATGCACTGAAGCGAGACGTGTTTGGTGCTGGATCAGTGCTCCCAGTTGCCAGAAACCGTCGGCAAACCTTTTCTAGCCTCCAGCATCATCCTTCTGCTATGGCCGTTTGCAGAAGCTTTTTAGAGTAGCGTCCCCGACCATCACCGATGCACCAATTTTCATGACAGTCGCTCATGATCAGGCTGGTATCATATTGCCTTTCAGCATGAGTGGTATCAGTGGTGCTGCCACATAACAGGTCTGCGCGCGGGTGTACAAGTAGCCATCGCTTTGGCACGGATAAAGCACGCATGCAGCAGCTGCCAGGCATGGAAATGGGCTCTGTGGGCGACTTTGCTGAGTACATGCGGGATTATGCCCGAAACTGAGCCAGGTGTTTCTGTATCTGCTCACGCAGTGTGGCGATCAGCCGACCCAACCGACCCAACCGAACTAACTACCGTAGCCCGGAGGCGGTCCGGCAAGCTCCAAATCATTCAGGATTAAATCCTGAATGCACAACGGCCATGACGGTCCTGAAGCCCCAGCCCTGCGAGCTACATCAAATCCGAGGCTCTCAATTGGCTCCCTGAGAGCTCCCAAGCGCAGGTGGAGCAGCAAGCCAAGCACAGGGAACCCACGCAGACACTTTCACTGGCTTGCGGCATTCCAAAGACATGCTTCCACAAAGGTCCGGAAAGTCCGACAAGTCCTCCAAGGCTCACGGAACATCTGCTTTTCCGCAGCAAAGCACTGCAGCCAACGAAGCAACGTCCGGTTCGCTTGGAGCCTGGAAAGGCCGTCTCACTAGCTGCAATGCCAGAGAATGAGGTGGGAGTTTCAGAGTTATCGGACTATGGCTGTTTCTTGAGTCCACGGCCGTCTCTCGCAGAATGCACAAACTGCGAGCCAGCTATGAAGTGGCTTGAAGCAGCTTGTCCAGTCAGAAGCCCCATCCCATTTCAGTCACATTTTCGGCAGAGCTCTTCAGGTGGGAGGGGAGCCGGCGCAGCCTGAGGCGGAGAACTCCGAGGAAATGTGCATACTGGTTGTGACAGTCTTACAATCGACCCTTCGGCCGTCTGTAGTGACTGTAGTGATTGTGGGGGCTGGGGACCGGTGGCTGAATAGCTGCTCGGCGCTAGGACCGCCGCTGGAAGGGAACAAGCAAGCTGCTTGATCAGTAGCATCGTACCATCTCATAAGGCACTAGCCCCAGAGATCCGCAAGTGGGCAGACGTTCTTCGCAGGAGCACAGCTTCCCTGAGCCGTCCATGCCCATGCAACAACAGCTACCAGCAAGCGCCGAGCAGCCCGAAGTGCATGCTTTGCAGGAGGACCGCAGACCTGACATGTTAAGATTGTGCCGCAACGCCTAGGTGTAGTCATCGGGTTGAGAAGCTCTGCCGCAAAGGACCCGGCCATTGTAAGAGCAGAGGTCCAGGCGGCAGAGGAGGCCGCGAGGGCAGCGGCTGCCCTCCAGCAGTTGCAGCAAGCTGCAAAGGACCGGTTATGGTCCGTCATGGTTGGCACTTGTCGGCTCCACATTCCCTCGGAAGCCTTGGCTTATTCCTTGCCTCGCAGGATGGCGCATACGCCCAATGGACCCTGCGAAGGCATGGTCTGCGCTCTGCGGCCACTGCGGAGTCGAATCGCCGTGCACAGGACGGGAGTCTTGCCTAGGTTGCCTTTACCCCAACCATAGTCGTTAAGCCGGCACCGAAGAGCACTTGCTTCCTCACGTGCTGCGGCGCTGGCGTAATTAACTTGGCGCCGTCGCGAGGAGCTCCAGGATGCCATGGCGAGGCTCAGGCCCAGCGGCGTCGCTTTGCCGCCGCAGTCACAGGTTTCGGTGGCCTCTCAGTGCTCAGGTTTGTGTCAGGTGATGAAGGATTGACACTTTCGGCGATCGCATCATGCCATCCCTTGAATCATGGTCTTTGAACCGAAGCCAGGTAACTTGGACGCTCCATGCTCGCGTCAAACCATGTCCCATCGCTCTGTTGCCAGGCAGGTCACCCAACAGCCGCTGACGCAGCAGAACGTGAAGGTTCCGAGTGCTGGGTTGGAGGGTAGGCTGCGCGTGCAAGGCAGCAATAGTTTCTAGTAATGTGTGGGTGTGATTAATAAACCACCGCCCCCCCCCC